AAAAAAAAAAAAAAAAAAAAAAAAAAAAAAAAAAAAAAAAAAAAAAAAAAAAAAAAAAAAAAAAAAAAAAAAAAAAAAAGAAAGAAAGAAAAAAGACATTAAGATGTTCCTGTCATTTCTTCCAAAGAAAGAAGAGTTCCTTTAACAGGAGGAGGAATTTCCATTTTACAAAAACTCTGAACCTGCAAGAACTTCACTGCAACATTAGATATTGTAAGCTCAGATGTCTCAGCCTAAACAAATAAATGGCAATATTGAATAGACAGTCCAAGAATCATAGCTCTCAGGGAAACATCCAGTGCCTCAGATAATAAATCACAGGGCAAATATTAAAAATAAACAAGGACAATATTGAACTTTTACTCTTCTGCTGCCTTGCTCTCCCAAGAAAACCAAGAGGAAGTTATCCCTCATGCAGTTCTGAAAACTAATTTGAGGTAGGAGGTAGCAATCCCACCCATACTTTAATCAGCCATGTACTCCATGGAGCATTGCAGAAGTGGATGCTACAAACCCCAAGTTTTTGTTGAGATGATTCACTGCTGCACTACTGCATTTTTATCCTGTGTATCCAACCGATTTCAGCATGAAACTGGAATACTTCAAGGATGACTCACAGCCACTGCTTTAGTTTCAGTGGAGATGGCATGGAGACATCTAGGAAAGGAAATTCACAATTTAAACTCCTCCTGTCCTTGGAACAAAACATTGATTAAAAAATAAGGCTCTTTCTGAAGAGTTCTGATCAGAGAGTAGAGGTTAATGGCTAAAAACCATACCTTTAGAAAGTAGATTAAATGCAGCCTTTAGAAGGAAGTGTGCCATCTCCTCCACACATGATGGCAGGGTACAAACACAGCAAGATGATGACAGGAACCTGACATTTTAAGTGTAGAAATAGGGGTGGTTTTGAAGCTGAAGTTGGCATTAAGAGGCTCTGGAGTTTCAGCATTTTATGATCTCTAAGAAGTTGATGAAAGGGGATTTGAGAAAGTGTTTCACTTCACTCTTGCCCTTCATTACATAGCATTAAATCATTCTACTATCATTTTCAGAAGTACCAAGAGAAAGATATTTTCTATTTTGTTCATAGAAAATAATTCTTCCCTGAGAACAGCTCAGAAAAGCCCATTTCTTAGCCCTGCTCCTCTCTAGCTCTCTGTTCACAGGGCAGCAGAGCAACTTCTTTTAATTCCTGCCATCTCATGAACCCGAAAAACTAATGATCTCTTTTATCTTGTCTTGTAAGAATTGTTTTGAACAGAATTAGGCCTGAGTAAGTAAAGGTCTTCTATTTCTTAGAGGGTTTTGCCCTGTGTGGAGTGAGCTACTGCAGGCTGCCCGAAACAAACATTAATATATAAACCCTAAAAACACAGGCATCAAACTGCATGAAAGCACAGACAGCAAGAAACTGCTTTGAAGCTCCAGCAGCTTGACAGCAGAAAAAAACATTTTTGAAGTGGCATTCCTGTTCCCTGGTGTGGCTTGCAGAGGAGAGCCATTGAAGAATTCTTGGCATTAGCACCACCTGTGTGGTCTTACCGGTAACGAGGAGTTTTATCC